CCCCAAAACCCCAAAACCCCAAAACCCCAAAACCCCTTTCTGAGTGCTAATTATTGATTTTATTAATAATTACTGAGATTTGGCTCCAAAGTTAATCTTGCTGAACTTTTTGGTAAGCTTGTCATAAGGATTCTTTTTCTTGAGGCGAGGGGATTTCTCAAGTTTCTCAAGAGTTTTTACATAATGGCTCAAAATTTCAGTGATATGTACAATGGCGTCTTTTATTTCTTCATCACTAGGAATTTTTTGTGAATCAAACATGATTTCGATATCATCGCTGGTGTAAGCTGCTCCATCTAAGAAAAGACCCTTAGAAGCATTCTTGGCCAGAATTATTGCTCCAGCTGCAAGTAAACTTGGCTTCACCTCAAGACAATCATAATCATACATGGCGAGATGAAGGAAGAAGTTTCCATAATAAAAGACATCTTCGTCTGAGCTCAAAAGTTTAGCAAAGAGACAAAAGAATCTATAGCTAGAGGGATATGTCTCATACATATGTCCAAGTGCTGTTGAGACAGTTACCTCAGCCTTTATCAAATCTTTGATGGTGAATGTATTCGCTGAGAGCTTCACATGATAATCAAGGCATTGAGGATACACTTCTTCATACTTTTCAGCAATCATCATTCATGCTGATGCGATAAGTTGAAGCTTCTTTCGAGGAACAAAAGTTTTAGAGAGATAACAATCAAAAATTTGGACAGCTTTAAAGAGAGTATGGTCATCTTTGATATGAAAAACAAGATGGAAATATGTCAGGTAATTCACTACTGCATTTCTCAACTTTGAGAACTTGCTCTCTCTTTGAACTCTTGAAATATCTGTAAGAGAGACCCAGTATTTCTGCTCTTTATTAAACATTCTTTGAATAATTTTATCTGAGTAAGTAATGTTCCACTGATTCTCCTCACTGAATTCTAAATGAAGTGGGTTTGCCTCATTTAACCTCTTAGTCTTCATTTCACTGAGTGTCTCTAACTTCTTTTTCTTCTGACTATCAAACATCGAAGGACGGAGCTTTGGCTTTGAACAAAACTTCTCAACTTGATTGCTCATTTTCCCTTGATTCTCTTTATTTTCAAAAACTTTGAGAGACGGGGTTACATTTTCTGAGTTATTAGATCTGCCTTCAATTCTCTGACCTCCTACTAGCTTTTGCTTATGATAGAATTGATCCATGTTGCTTTGATCTCCTTTCTTCAAATTATCCCTGTTGAATCCAAAAGTGGGGATGCTTCTATATTCTAAGGCGCGGTTCCTTGTATGGTCCATTTTTAGTTTAAATTTTATAATTAACTGCATCGAGTCAATTTTTGTTGTGATTTTCGGGGTTTTGGGGTTTTGGGGTTTTGGGGTTTTGGGGTTTTGGGG